ATATATATATATATATATATATATATATATATATATATATATATATATATATATATATATATATATATATATATATATATATATATATATATATATATATATATATATATATATATATATATATATATATATATATATATATATATATATATATATATATATATATATATATATATATATATATATATATATATATATATATATATATATACACACACACACACACACACACACACACACACACACACAACAAAAACACAAATAAGCAAGTTAAGGGAAACCCTTGAAAGCAAGTCCCTAGTGAAGTCGCCATTTCTATCGCGGTGAGAATTGGATATCAAGCTATTGATTAACTTGAATCGCAAATCATTATTCACCACCGATCTCTAATTTATCCAAGGAAAGGGAAAAAGAACGAATAAACCCATGAGTATGCAGTGCAAAGTAAAGCAAAGAGAATCTAAGGTTCAGAGGTTGATACCTAGGAAAGGTGTTAACATCCTAAGTATCTGTAGTACTCTACAAGAACCTCTTGTTTTATTGTGTTATTTGTTATTTAGTTTGCTAAAGGGTGAAAAGGTAAAGAGACTTAAGGTGTTATTTCTAAGTATGATTTCAAAGAAGTCACATCTTGTGCCTACGTATTCTGACGGGAGTGGAATCATAGCATTCGTAGTTCCCATAAAGGGATTGAGGAACTCTTTGTTAGAACACATATTGGTTCTTAATAATTACTCTTTATTTTGATGATAACTGTTAGGAAATTTATATTTAAGAATTATATACTCTAAAATTTGTTTGAGAGTTTTACTGCAGATTAAAATTATATTGACTCTCTAGAAGCAAATCTGCCTTTGAATACAAGAAGTTATTCTGAATCTGTAGCGCCAGATGCATCTTACAGAAGAATCTGCTTGCTCCTTACAAAAGATCCTGAGCGTAGTCTCCAGAAGGATCTGAAGAAAGAAGCTCCAGAACATTCTGAGTCAGAAGCATCTGAAGATAGCCAGAAGCATCTGAAGATAATTAGAAGCATCTGAAGCTGAAGCATCAGATGTATAGAAGAATATTGATTGAAGAATTTCTCAAAGCATTGATCTACAGAAGTTTCTGAAAGTACCTACGCTGCCAAGTACTGAAGTTCTGTGTCAAGATGCTCTGATGATCAACACGCTAGAAGCACACAAGCTGCAGAAGACTCTGATACAGCATAGTTCTGAAACTCATCAGAAGACTCTGATCCATTCAGACTCTGAAGAACTTGCTGAAACTGAAGAAGTGTTTTCAAGAATGTATCCGTTGGAATCATTCAACGTCTCTTTCCTTATTTGTGCTAGACACACTTACACAGACAAAAAGGATTTATCTGTGCCATCTATTTCAAGGAAAGGTCAGTACATGTGAAGACAAAAAGGTTCAGACCTTTTGGACTCTCTTTTAAACGTGGATAATTCAGTTGCCTATAAAAGGAGTCTCTCACTTCATTCTTCAGTGACACACTCTTGAGCTACACACTTGCTGAAAAGAAATCACATATTCTTAAGCTCTCATTCTTATTCTTCTTAGAATCTTATTGTACTTAAATCTTAAGAGAAAAATCACTGTTGTGATTATAGCTTTATAGAAGCATTAAAAACTCTTGTATTTAATTTACATTGTTTGTAAAGGATTTTCCTTAAGAGGATTCAGTGTGAATCAGTAGCTCTTAAGAAGACTAAGAACTGTAGTTCTTAGGTGATACTATTGTAATCAGTTTGATTTAATAGTGGATTAAGTCCTTGTTGAGAAAGGCAAATCACTCTGGAAGGGTGGACTGGAGTAGTTGTTTAACGAACCAGGATAAAAATAATTGTGTGATTATTTTTCAAGTATTAATTTTCCAAACTTATTCAACCCCCCCCCCCCTTCTAAGTTATATCTCACCTTCAGTTGGCATCAGAGCTCCGGTTCTAAGTGTGCTATCACTTAACAGTGTCAGTAAAGATCCAGAGGAGATATACTTTGATCTATATATTTATTTGTTATCATGGCTGATAATTCAATGTCAAATATCAACAATAAATATGAAGAGAGGGATAGGATCAGTACCAAACCTCCAATGTTTGATGGAGAAAAATTTGACTATTGGAAAGATAGAATAGAAAGTTTTTTTCTTGGGTATGATGCTGATCTTTGGGATTTGGTCATTGATGGATATGTACATCCTACTGGAGAGGATGGCAAAAAGATTGATAGAAAATCAATGACTGAAGTGCAGAAAAGAGACTTCAAGAATCACCACAAAGCCAGAACTATATTGCTTAATGCAATCTCTCATACTGAGTATGAGAAGATTACTAACAGAGATACTGCTCATGACATGTTTGAATCACTCAAAATGACTCATGAGGGAAACTCTCAGGTTAAAGAGACAAAGGCTCTGGCGCTCATACAGAAGTATGAGGCATTTAAAATGGAAGACTCTGAAAATGTAGAAACTATGTTTTCTAGATTTCAGATTCTTACAGCTGGTCTGAAAGTTCTGGACAAGGGTTATTCAACGTCAAATCATGTCAAGAAAATCATCAGAAGTCTTCCCACCAGATGGAGACCAATGGTGACTGCATTAAAGATGGCAAAAGATCTGAACAAGATCTCCTTAGAAGAACTTATCAGTTCTTTGAGAAGTCATGAAATTGAGCTGGAGGAAGATGAACCCCAGAAGAAAGATAAAGGTAAATCCATAGCTTTAAAATCTAACAAAACTGCTAAAGCTTTGCAGGTTATTCAAGAAAGCTCTGAAGAATCTTCTTCTGAAGAAGAAGATGAGTTGTCCATGCTGTCCAGAAGGATTAACAAACTCTGGAAGCACAAGGGAAAGAAGTTTAACAACTTCAGAAGATCTGACAACAGAAAAGAATCTTCTAGTCACAGAAGATCTGCCAAGAAAGAAGTGGTGTGCTATGAGTGCAAGGAACCTGGGCACTACAAGAATGACTGCCCTAAACTTCTGAAAGAAAAACCTAAGAAGAAGTTCAACAAGAAGAAAAAGGTTCTGATGGCAACATGGGATGACTCTGATGAGTGTGAGTCATCTTCTGAATCAGAAGAAGAATGTGCAAATGTTGCATTGATGGCCAGGACAGAGGATCAAGAGGAAGGTACCTCTGGATATGAATCAGAATCTGAATCTGATGATGATGCAGAAGAGGTAATGGCCAAACTTACCAAAGAAGAACTCATTAAAGTTTTAACAGAAGTTCTTAAAAGTTACAACAACATCAAACTCAAATACAAGAAGCTGAAAAGCAATCTTGAATCTGAGATTGATCTTTTGAAAACAGAACTTGTTGAACAGAAGGAAATAAATTTAAAAATCAAAAATGACTTTGATAAAACTCAACAAGAATCTGATTCTGAAACTAAGTCTTGTGAAAATATTTTAGAAAAATATGACTTTAGTTTTCAGAAGTTTCTCACTAAGAGCATAGACAGAAGCAAGATGGCTTCCATGATCTATGGTGTTAGTGGAAACAACAGAAGAGGCATTCACTATAAGAAAAACGATGGATTACGACGGTTATTTTGGCAGATTACGACGGTTAACACCACCATCAATTATATTCTACGACGGTTGTAGTACCGTCGCAGAAACGTGTGTCCCCGGACTGTTTAGCGACGGTTGCCAAAACCGCCACACCAAACCGTCGTTATATTTCACGACGGGCTAGAACTGACCTAAACTGGAGATGGCGACAGTTAAAGACCGTCGTTACTAGCCTTTTGATTTTTGTTTTCATTGTTGATTGTGACGGTTTAAAATTGTCGTGAACTCTATTTCACGACTGGTTGGAACTGACATAAACTGAAAATGACAACAGTTAAATACCGTGGTGAATATACTTTTGATTTTTGTTACCATTGTTGATTGCGACGGTTTAAAACTGTTGCAAAAAACACCATAGATAATTGAAAGTTTCGCAGAAAAAATCACAGCAAATTGTAAATTCGCAGGTAAATTAGGAAATAATTTCTCTCTCGGGTTTTTAATTTTTATTATTAATTGTGTTTAATTCATATTTAAAATATTATAGTTATTGTTAAATATCAAAGTAACAATAATATAAAATTAAAATCTAAATTGAGTAAGACAATGCAACACTAATCACATTCAAATTTTTAAAGTAACCAAACATTACTATAAAGTCAATAACAAATATTTCTAAAGTTACATTACTAAAAATGACACAATCAAGTTACTAAAATACAAAACAAAAGGACCAACAAAACCAGAACTAGACTCCTTAAAATCTAAGATCTCACCATCTCCATGTTTTATCTGATTAGCCATTGCACCATCCCAAATAGCACTTCCAAGAACAGAAAAAAATTACTCGACCTTCCAGACTGCACTGTTACATTTAAAACCCAACCCGAACGCAATCTGCCAGACCCGATCGCCTTTCGCGACCTGACCCTTAGCCTCTGCATAAGCCAGTTCATACCAGAGAGAACTATTGGAAGTGTTTCCGAATCGATGCAGAGTCATCCGCGAAGGCTCCATATGCCACTCACTCAGTTGCAGAGTCTTCTGTATCTCATCAAGAACAGATCTTCCACCAGCATGAATACAGAAATGCTTAAAAGCAAGCTTGAAATCTTGTATATAAGGCTTCACACATGAACCTTTCAACACTTTTCTTCTAACCAATGACACAAAAATTCGATGGTTTATTCGATAACAGTATAACAGCACCACCCATTCGGAAAATGCAATTCGAAAGAAGCATTGATCGGTCGTTTCCGAAATACCAATTCAAAGTTAAATTCTCTTTGCTTAAAACCACTGCATACGAATTTGGATTCGCTTTCAGAAGATCTTTCGCTAGATCAATTGAAATAAGACCTGCACTACAACCCATTCCGCCGAGATTATAGCTTTTTATGTCTGATCTCAGCTTGTAATGATTCATAATCATAGCAGAAAGCGAAGGTGTTGGATTGAACAAGCTACAATTCACCTAAAGAATATCAATATCTCTTGAATTAACACTTGTTTTAGCAAAAAGTGCATATAATGCTCCGAACATTACTACTTCTTCTTCTTGGCGCGCTACTTCCATACATATATTTGGCGGACGGGAAGTTATTCCCTTCGGTAAACACGTTTCGTCGCCTAAACCTGCTCTGGATAAAATTCTATGTTGGAAACTCGTGTGTATAAAACCAGGATCACGCCAGCCAACAGTTCGCCCTGGTTCACCTATAGGTCAAGAAATGTCCTCGTTATTTGTTTGGATTCATTTTTGTTAAAGTTTCATGTATAAACTTGTTTATGTAATAATCCTTACCACACATGCTGTTACGATTAAATGTCAATGTTTCAGCAGCAGATTGTCCCTGTCTTCCGCCCTTTGGACCCCATTCCACAAAGGGTACAACTTCATGTATGTCATATCCACTTGTCCAGGTAACTGTCATCTGTCATCGATTAAAATATTTAGAATGATTAGTAAAAAAGTAATATCCAGTCAACAGATTAATTTAAAACTAATATTTTACTATCGTATGAACTATGAACCAGTGTCTGATTAGGATAAGTTAGATTAGTGATATATAATTAAACTTACTTCATTCCAAGACTTCCCTTTATGCATAGACAACTTGGCATATCAAACCCTTTGGCATATCAATTCATGACTAACAAGTATTGTACGAATACAATAACCAAGCATGTACTTATTTAAATGAATTTTCATTCTTTAAAAGTGTAAGAAAGCAAAAAAGAATCCATGCCCTTTTACCTGAATTGAGAACACGTCTTAAATGGGCATCAAGAAAGGCTTATCAAGCTGACAAACAGGGTCAGGAATGTATTCATCTACAACGTCCATTAATTTTAGAATGGCCTTACTGCCAATCTCTTCATTTGTACCATTTAAAGCAGACAGTGCTGAACCTCTAATGATAGGGATGTCATCCCGAGGGAACTTGTAGAAGCTCAGAAGCTCTGCCAGATACACATTTAACAAAAATCCACTTCAAAATTTACCAAATAGGAGGACAACAAAAAGTTACAAAGGTGTGTTCTTATCATGAATACTAACAGGGAAAAGGGAGGGAAGGTGCGTTGTTAGAAAAACACTCACCACAAAGCTCCATTTCTACAAGCTCTAACAATTCTGGATCGTCAACAACATCAACTTTATTTAAAAAGCAAACAAGAGATGGCACACCAACCTGCACAATTCATGTAAAAGTAAATGAGTGTTAATCAAGAAGCAAGGAAGTAACGGTAGACCTATAAGTTTGCTTCTATTGTTTACAAACAACTTCAATAGAATCAAGCTCCAAACATTGGAACGCAAAGCGCAACAAATCAAAACAGAAACAAATGTCTCAATGCGGTAACGAAACAAAATAATAATACATGAACAAGTTCTTTCTCTTTAAGTTGTATCCAGATTCTTCAACATATTAATCAACAAATTGAAAAAACAGCAAATTCACAAATCGGCATAATTGAGAAGCATATCACAACTAGCATTTCAGTCTGCATCATACTATAACAATATGCATACATGGTTCATCAGAATTTTAAAATCACAACAGCAACAATAGTATCCCCTTAATACATCAAAAGAATAATGTTGACACCACGGATCAGATACGACTTTATGCCATGCCAAGAAATTAACAAACAACAACAATTGAAACAATGAAAATTAAAACAATCCAACAGAGTTCGCAGCAAAACATCAGATACATTACGCAATAGAGAAATTGGTTTGAGTTGCTACCGGGATTTCGTACTCACAGCTGAGAAAAGCAAAGTAACTCTGTTACAAAAGCACATTCGGCCAACTAGGAAGCAACTGGAAAGCTAATACTAATATAAAGTATAAAAATATTAATGTCGTAATTTATTTATATTAATATGACTAACTACCTGTTCCTCCCATTATGCTAGGAAGCAACTGGAAAGCTAATACTAATATAAAGTATAAAAATATTAATGTCGTAATTTATTTATATTAATATGACTAACTACCTGTTCCTCCCATTATGCTGTAACAACTGGAGGGAAGAGTACGGCCGGTTTTGCATCAGTACCAGGAAAGAAGTTGCCTTCCGGTATCCTTGCTACTTAGATTAAGTTCTGCTAATTCGCTGATGAGCATGATGTGAAAAGCAAATGTTATTAAAGTTTGTGAAGGAATTTTATATTTCAAATGTTAGTAATTATGTTAACCAACCTGATTTCATTCACTACCATATCACGAGTAAACACTTCTAACATGTCTTGCAATAATACCACCACTGTGTCTTTCTTCGATAGATTTGCATCTTTCTATGACCAAAAAGTAATATGTAAGCTTCTAAATAGGTTAGTTATAGACAGACCATTTAAGACTACAAAGGGATGATACAATTAGTTTTCTTTCAAATGACTCACCAAAATTTCAACAAGCTCAACAAACTTCTTGCAAGGGGAAGGCAAAAATCTCATTCGGAAATTCATAAGAAGTGTATTTTTAGAGATGCTGTTTTTAACTTCCTTTATGATGACAGAGATTGTCCTGATCCATCACAATGTACTCATGATTACGAATGATTATATAACTTTAACAGCTTATTCTATTCGCTGATTAAAAAAACACAAGCAGCCAATATGAAATTATGAATGACCTCTATAATGCAATATGTAATTTTAATGTGGTTAAAACTAAAAAATGATCACGCTAGTTAGCCATTTCTTCTGTTATTTGTTTTGGGTTGTTAAGTGGTCTAGAAAGACATTTTAAATAGAAATAGAAAGTAAAGGCATATCAAATAAGGATAATTGATGTTCATGAAATTCGATGGAAACAGCAAGAACAACATTGTAGTATTTATAGAAAAAGAGAAGTTGGGAAACCAAAGCATGCTGAAATGCTAATAGAATCGGATCATAATGGCACAACCAACAAAAACATGCCTTTAGTGCGAAGTGTAGACTAAAAGACACAAGCATAAACAGAAAAGATACTAAAAGCTACCTTTTTTCAGCTTCTCCGACCACTAACGCGCTCAAAATATGTTTGAAAGTTTCATAGCTTTCAATGACCGCACACTTCATTTACTCGTATGCACATATGCGTTTCCAAAGATCACAGTCCCTTCCTCGAAATTGAGCTGCCATATCCAGTGCAATAGGAATCTATAAAGGTTGAGAGGGAGTCAATTATAGGAGCTGGTAACAAACACATGAGTTGTAAAAATTGAATTGCACAAGGAATCAATAGGAACCTTGCTTGCAAGCATAAATGGTGTCCATTGAACTATTTTCAAGCTAGGATCTGATGAGTAAGGAACCAACAAAAGGTCCATCTCCCTGGAGTGATGCAAACATAGTTTAGTCCTTGATAAGTGATAAATGACAAATCAAAATATGGAGGAGGAATAGTTGAAGCTAGGATTGAGAACAAAGAAAAGAAATAACAGAAGGTTAATATGAACCCTCAATAATCAATTGTTTCTAGCAAGAATTTTCCCATAACAAGTTTAACAGAAGGTTAAATAATAAAAGTGAAAAGATTTAAAAAAGGTTAACATTAAAAATGTACCTTCCTTTCTTAAGTGCAGAAAGGCAATCATCGTAAAGCATGGTCCATGCAGTATCCAACTAGAGTAACCCTCCATTCTTAGAATCCACAGGATTGGAATGAATACGACTCTCTTTTGTATTTAAAGACGAGCTATATGTGCTCCCAAGGATACTTGCGACAACTTCTTTTACAGATGTAGTAAGCCTAAAAGACAGCAGGAAAACACAAGGAATACTTAGCTCTATCAAATCAGAGTTTTCCCAAAACACAGTGAAAAATCAGACACAATTTATATTGTAATTCGCGCTCTGCACCCTTCCAAATAGTGATAAAAATTGGTCTGCTATTGGCTGATCACAGAGCAAAATAGAGCAACAGGACAAGGAAACGGAATGCCTCTCTAATGCAACCGTTAGCAAACCAATTTGAATTGTCATAGTCTACCATTTTGTATAAATTGTAACATATCAAATCCATTGTAATTAAAGCCACTAGTTGTAATTGCAATGGTTAAACACTAAAAGTACTATTCTATTAAAGCCAGTACTCTACAAAATTAGTTGTAACTATTCCATCAAAGTCATTATTCTATTATAAGCACTTTCTATTAGTTTTAACTATTCTATTAAAGCCACTAATTAAATTAAAGCCACTAATATCCAAATCATAAAGTACTGCAAATTAGACTCCATAGTATTTTGACAAAACAATTACCTTGCTAAGCTAATTGGCCAACAAATAGGCAAAGTAAGTTATCAGTGTGACATATTTCATAAACCACGGGAGTTTAAATGCATGGGCTAGAAATGCATTCTGATGATGATTCTCAATACCAAAGGTCTTTCGCACAACATTCATGGAAGCTTATGTCATGAAAAATAATAATAAATGCAAGCCAATGAAACTCTTTTCAATTGAAAAATCATATATACTTGATGATCAAACTATAGCTTGATGTCCCAAAAGTAAATTAAATCCTAAACATGTATGCAACGCTAAAATAAATAGTCATTTTAAAATCAAAAGCAAGAAAAAATAAATTTGAGGAAAGATAACATTCCCCTAGGAGAAGATGAAGCTCATGACGGCCGGTATTAGTCCAACGCGGTGGTTGTGTTTCCAACACCTTTGTCTCAACAGAATAAAAATGAAAAGAAGATAATCCTTGGAAAATGTAACACGAAAAGAAAAATATGGAGGTTCAGTGGTCTCAAAGGGTATTATCGATGGGAAGAGAAGACATATCAACACAATGACAGTCGAAACAATATATTATAGAGATGGAAAATATGAATGAAAGTATGCAATGGAAAGTCGAATAAAGAAGGTGAGCAGACATACATACCTCTTCATCAGATTTGTGTTGACAACAATTACCGTTTCAACAAAAAAACAAGGGTTTAAATAAAGGGAATTAGGGTTTACAACCTTCAAATGTGTTCTCTTAAATTTGTGTTATGCAAAAAAACACCCTCCAAATTTGTGTTATGAAACAACCTGCAATCCATGCTCTATGACTATGAGTAACACCCTTCAAAATCGTGCTCTATGAAAACCCTTCAAATTCGATTCGCGAGAAAAGATTGGGATGTTTTGTGTAAAGAAGAAATTTTTTCTAAAAAGTTGTTTATTTTGGAGAAAAATTGAGTTTGTCTTGCGGTTAAAATTTGAGGAAACTGGAGAGTGGTAAGGGTTTTCTCTTTGATTTTGGGAGAAAGAAGCTGTAATACGGTTTTTCAGAAACTTAGAAAGAAGGAAAGTAAATTGCCAAGTGGGAATCTAATAATAGTTTATGTTAAACTTCACGTAGTGATAAAATATGCTAAGGGGATCGAACTCGTGAGCAAAACATTAGATATGTTAACGACGTCCGTGAGGACTGTTGTAGTCCAC